TCATCATCATCATCATCTTCATCATCATTATCATCACATCATCATCATCATCATCATCATCATCATCATCATCATCATCATCATCAAAACAATTGCAATAGTAAGATGCTGCGAAGCGATATGAAAGATAGCAGTCAAAGCCTCAGTGAAAATAAATAAACAAATAGACAAACAGTTCAGTAATAAACGCCACTCACCAGGTGATATATCAGGGGAGTAGTCAAAGCTTTCGTCTCCCACGAGGCGGTTTTTGGACCAATCAGCACCCAGCATGTCACGTGATATTGAAGGATGCTCTATCAACATCTCCACAATGCGGTACACCCCCTCTCGTATGGCGTAAAGCAGGGCATCCCCTGCAAGCAGGTCAATTTACATAAAGATATAAGAAAACAATTTTTTTTTTCAATATTAACGTCACTGCCTACATTTTTAAAAAATTCGATGGCAACAAAGTTAGAGGGCGACCGAGAAAGACCTGGACAGATGGAGTCAGGGAAACATTAACAACTCTCGGCATCCCCCTGACCCAAGCTCTCGGCTGGTGGCAGAGAGAGGTCTCTTTCTTCCCGCGACACCCAAAAGGGTATAAGCGGCGGATAAAAGTAATTAAGTAAGCAATTGAAATTTTGGAATATACGTCACCTCTAGTTCACTCATTTTCGCTTTTGTATTCTACCTATCTTCAATTGCGACTAAATTCATTTTTGACTTGTAGACATGATGGATCGTTGGTTTTAATTGAGACTATTCTGTTAGGGTTTGTTGTAAGTTTAATAAAGTGATGAGGTAAAGGGGAAGCAGAGTAAACTCTCAACCCAGGTTCTGAAGCCAATGCACAAGTCCATCTCGCTTGGAAGAAAGCATTACGACAACGAACATTAGACATTACTTACCGGGATTGAAACATCACCCCCCCCCCTCCCTCTTCCTTCCATTCCTCTGGATTTATTAGTCCGTGAAAAGTCACGCTCAGACTTAGCTTGAAGAAATTCCTATATGTTTCATTACTGTTATACGGCATCGCATTTGCCCTCCTTTTAGTATTTAACTTTACAATTCAGTCGTAAAGATAAGACAAAAATGACTAGCACCAGTCATCGTGACCGAACAAATGCACTTGTTAATGTTGCATTTTAAAACGTGTTTATTTGCAAGGCTCTGTTTACTGGGGTATCTGCATCGTTTGTTTCAATGCTCTATTGATTAGGCGATCGGACTCGTAATCGTAAGATTGCAGGTTTGGGGGCTCGAGGCTGAGCTCGCTCTGACGTTGTGTCATTAGGAAAAGCACTTTACATGCATTTTCCAATTTAGCGCGATCTTATCGGATCATCATCATCATCCAGTGCCAGATCTGCGACAGACATCGGCAATCATGGTTCTCCATTCATTCTTTTGCTCGGATGCTCTCGAAAAAATCTACGCTTCCCTGATCTTTCCCTGTTACCCATTTGTTTAGGTTCCCCAAGTAGATTGCTTTGGGCCTACCCCAGTCTCGTTTGCCTTCCATTTTACCAGAGAGAGCTAGATGTTCAAGACCCTTACGTCTATTCAGGTGTCCCAAAAACTGCATTTGTCGGATATGGCCATTAAATTCGGAGGTCCCACCTTATAGATACTTATAGTTAAGCACACCCCTGGACCTTTTATGGACATTTTGTATGACCCTGGTTGGAGAGAGCTTTTGGCTGCAACAACCTGGCATCGCTTGTTTCTTTGTGATTTGTATCTACTTTTGAAAATGTCAGGACTGCAACTTGCGACTTGTGACTTGCAACTTACGACTTGCTGTTTGAGCTGACAATCCTGCAATAATCTGATTACTGTTTATTTTCCATAATTAGCTTTTGATAAAGTTTTACCCTGCTAAAGGTGCTGAATAAGTTATTTTGAAAATTGTATTATGATTTTCTAAATAGCTAGAAAATATAAAGAACTATTGAATGTACAGCTACCCCAACAGGGTGGGATTAGTTGCTCGTCAATTTTTCGGCATGTGGCATTATAGGTGCTCGCTTCAAGCTTGTTTATTTACCTTGCTTTTGATTTTTTAAAGTACTCGTTTATCTTGCGAAAAAGAGATATTTACGATTTAAGTGGCCAAGGTTTGCCTGGCGTCAGGGGTAAAATTAGAGAGAAAATTACCACTAAAGTTTGGTGACTTCCAAACTTGAGTGTCCTTGAAGACTGTACATTTACAATTTACAATTTCTGAGCCTTTGGTCAACATTTTTCAATTGAGTCTACACGTAAATGTGTTTTCAATGGACATAGAAGGTGTTAAGTCAAAAAGGGAAAATCTCAACAACAAAAAAAGATTACCCCAAGGATGAGAAAATGCCGGTTTCTTCGATAGCTTCAATTTGACAAGCGTGAGATTTCAGTATGATGCCTCACAATGGAGTCTGGCCTCGACTTTTCTTTAATAATAATAATTCTTTCTCTGTCTCTCTTTCCTATTATTCTGTTTATTTGTTTCCCATTACTCGCATTGATTGTCTCTTGTGTGTACAGTTTGAGATAAGTTGACAGGCACATGTCTAGCTTGGATGAAAGCATTACTACAACGAAAAATAAAAATTGCTTACGAGGGATAAATAACTCCCC